CTATGCAATTCATGCAAAGATGGTATCATAAACAAATGGTTTGTTCCAAAATGTTTTTGTTTAAATATATTATAAATATTTAAATGTTTTCTACAAATTTTAGCTTACAATTTATTTTCTTTTTATTTTCTGAGTTTAACATTAACACATTAAATATAAATTTGCAATAACTTTTGCACATGCCACATTTTAGGTTTAAAGTTGTTTTTTTCTATAATATTTTAAATTCAGCAAATAAACAGTAGCTCTGTATTACATTTTGGAGAAGTGTGTTCTCCAAGGATGTGTTTACTTATTTTCACTTAAAAAATGAACAAAACACCATTTGACCGGGGAGCCCAAACTTTTGCATATGACTGTATATGTTGCTAGGAGAGGGCTTCACGCATACATGAAATATAAGTGCTCTATTATGATCACTTTGTAAAACATGATTTGTCGGTTCAAAGCAAAATTCAGTTTAGACGGACAGCGTGAATATTTTACATCAATTCAAACCTCAAAAACACTTCAAACCAACTTCTGCTCTGTTCCACTTTATCAGAGAAATAAAACTATTTTTGTGACAGAGTGCTACACGTCAGCTGTTATTTTTTTTAAATCTCTTCTTGTTACAAATGAACATACAACATATGCGACTGAAACTCTCAATATGCACGAGTTCAAAAGTCTGATATTATGTAGAACTTCAGATTTTTTTCATTTAAACCTAGAAATAAACAATATAAAGTTTTAGAATTTTGAAAAAAATAAAACAAAGAAAAATTACAGCAAGTAAAATAATGAGAAATATTGAAGGTTCTGCAGTATTTCTAGGTCACTATTCAAATGTAAGCAAATTTGTGACATTGACCATTTTAAGGCCTTTCTTTATTTAGTCTTTTTTAGGGGTGGGCAATATGACAATATTTTAGCATTGTACGTCACAATATGCTTTTCTAAGCATATAGTGGATATTGTCAGTACTTAACCCCTTAAATAACCCCAAGTTTTAATACACACTTCTACAAACAAAGAATAGCCCAGTTTGCATTGAAGTCCCTGTAGTTAGTGAATAATAAGCCTTAGTATATAATAAGCCTGAGATTTTACGGGGTTAGAACACTGATTAACTACATTTCATTACAAAGTGAGCATAATTAGGCCCGTTTAATTGCATTTTGTGCAGCGTAGTGGTGTAACATAGTATTTTTATATGTGGCACTACAGGTTCTGTTTTATCTGGTACAACTTATTAAAATTTATAAAAACTATATATCAGGATGCATACTGTGTATCTTAAAAATGTAAAGATTTAAAATTTTTGCCACATTGACCCACAGTGTAATATATCGATACATGTGTTCAGACGACTTTGATCTATTCATCAGAGGCTTTTGCATAAACTTGAAGTCCATGTCAGCTCAAGTGCACACTGTCATCAAAGCAAAATGGGGACACACCAATTGCTGAGAAATTTAAAAATTCATAAAAATATTTCAAAGATTCTACTAAATTGTTATGCTGGTCTTTTGGACCCCAATCTTAGAAATAAGGGTGCCAAATGGAACCAAATAGGGTTTCTTGGAGTGATGCCATAGAAGAACCACTTTTGGCTCCCTAAAGACCCTTCAACAGATGGTTCTTCAAAGAACCATGTTTGTAAATGCGATGTGAGTGTGAATAACCTTTTTAAAGATCCTATACCAACTAAAAATGTGTTCCACCTCCAAGCGAAAAAAACAAGGAATGCATGTGAGCAAGTAGATATTGCTTTTTTTGTGGGTGGAGATCCTCAAGCAAGAACTGGACAATAAAACTGCCTTTGGCATAAAAATGTCTGAGAATAACTCATACAGTTTGAGCAAAAATTCAATTGCAGATAGGCGAGAAGTTTCTTCTTAAGTGAAAAGACAACTATTGTTCATACCATCTTTTGCTCTGCACATTACAGTAGCCAACAAAAGCCAAAATACAATTAGAGGGCAAAAAACAAAGAAAATAATGATGTGCAAAGGGGTAAAAACAGGTTTTTACTTTGAAGGATTTAACTCTACTGGAACAGAGAGATTTTGTCTACCAGAAGGGTAGTTGACAAGTCCTGTACTGTGTTCAAATTTGATCACACACCATAAGCAATCAGTTGAGTTCATATTTTCAGTAGAGCTGACATCATTTCCAATGTCTCTAAAATACTCTAACAATACACCAGCAAGTAAGCAACTCATAAACACGTAAACACATTACCGAACTGTGTACTGTTAAAAAAAGTCAGCTAAAAAGCTCTTCCAATACACAACTATTTATATTTCTTTTCATAAGTAAAGCCAGTAACACTGCACATGTATATATAGTAAGACTGTATGTCTGATTTTTTTTAACAATAGCTCACGCTGTCTTCAATACATTTCCTGAAGCTGCAAGACGTCAGTTAAGAAACATGAAAACATGCAGTTTTAAAGGGACACGCCAGTCAAAAAAAGCTTAAACTTTGCTACATTTGCTGTAAACATGCCCACTCACCTCCTACAGCGGTGCTGCAGTAGGAATGAATTAGAATAAGACAATAATGTGAATAAGAGGGTGATAAACAGATGTCTGTGTAGTGTTGATCAAAGATAACTGATAAGACATATTGTTAAAAACTGGATCTTTCTGTGAATCACGGGTAAAGAATTGTGTCAGTAACTGCACGAGGAGCCCAATAAAGATTTTAGGGCCCCCTTGCACCCTGGACCAGGTCAAGGTTTGAAGTAGCACTGCAGGTGGACTGTAGTCTAGCTATAACTAGTCATTAGACAAGTAATAAGTATACTGGAACATGTCTGTAATTTTAGTCAGAGTCATATTAGAATCATTTTTATTTAATAGAATCTTCAAGTTTGTAGTGTATTTAAACTCTATAAGTCCTGTAGTAATATTCCCATTTCTTTTAGATGGAAACAAAAAAGGTTAAGATCTTGAAACACCCAATGGAAAATTGTCTAATCCGGACTGTTCTCATGGTATCTTGGGAAGCAAGTTCTGGACAGAAGGCCTTACACTTCAAAGTAACCACTAACATAATTAGGAAGCGACAGAGAAATCAACTGTTTAGGCTTTAATTTCCAGTGGGATGGATGAATTCTGTGGGAAAAAATGTCACTCTAGGCCTTTTGGAAATGATAGATATGTCAATAAAGTAGTCCCACCAGGTTTCAGTCAGCTGATAGAAAAAGAAAACAGGGTCGGCAGCTCTACCCATAGAGGGAAAATGTACATATATTTGCTCATATTAAACATACGTGTTATATATGTGATACTTTAAAATACATGTGCTGATTTAACTGTGGTATTTCTGAATACAAATATATGCCAATATATTGTCGGAACAAAACCTTGTATCGTCATTTATGTTGTTATGTTGTTTGAAAATGCCTGTTGCATTTACATTATGTGTAAATTTCATGATGAATGGACTAAAAGAAATGGCTCAAAATTATTTAAAAATAAGTTTGGTTACATGGACTTACATTAAAACTAAAGTGTTTTTTTTTTCTTTCTCCTGTAAAGTTATCATTTTAGAGACTTTTGTTAAGGCTTTGTTTCTGACAAAAATATATGCACACATATGTGATTATTTGATTCATATGCACATATTTAGACAAAATGTATATAATAGTGTCAATTTGTAATATTTACATATATCTTAAACATATATGAAAGTTTATTGACACATAGAGGGAAATATATTACTAAAAGAGTCACTATGGTCACTGCAACATGCAAGGTTGAATAAATCCCTTCTTTATCACTGTGCATTTATAGGTGAATAAACACAAATTCTACTGGTTTCCTAGTGGGTATATGACGTATATAACTCTGTATCACGTAAACTACAGCTCTGGATTACAGAAGTGAAAAAAGCGACCTGCTTCTCTGGAAGCTGTAGTGGGTAGAGGGTTTGTACTGTACATGTTGCAGCAGCAAGTACAAATTTAACCATACATTCATTTTTGAAGTCATAATTCTTAATTTTTCACACTTAATTTCTTTGCACAGTTAGATACAGGGGTCTATAACTAACAGAGAAGTTCTTTAGTGTTTGAAGGGTTTAGACACCCCCTAAACTCTTCAAAGAAATACCTCTTCAAAAACGTAATATAATAAGAAAACTACATTCAGCCTAAACAAACGAACAGCACTGATCGGAGTAGCAGAAAATATCATTTACCTAGAATATGAACTGTTCCCAAACTCTATACTTATGAATCATCATATATTGGAGTAAATGGAGTAAATCAAGCTCCACACTTGCTTCAGATCTAAAACAATCCACAGGTGTTTCTGTCCATCCTTCCACTGTGAGAAGACAACTCAACACTATGAGTCTGAAAGGATGAGTAGCTGTCAAGAAGCTCTTTTTGAGAAAAAGAAATAAACAACAACAAAAAAAGAACGTTTGCAAATCAAACAAGGAAGCTGCTGGTGTTCTCAGAACAATGGACTGACCACCCCAGAGTCCAGACTCCAGAAACAGAAAATACAACCAAGTTCTAAGACTGAACTTTGGAGGTGTGGAAAAATATCCCCGCAGACACATTGAATACTGAAACAATTATGTTATATTTAGCTGTTGACGCTTCTGTGTAATTTTCCATTAAGTATATGTTTTGTGTTTTGATGCTGAAAAATATAACATAGCTTGTACTTAATGACTGTTCTGATTAGAAATAAAAAAAGAAAGGTGCTTTTTTGGCCTTTGCACATTCATGTATGTAAGTACATATATGTAACAATATGTAAGTACCTATAAGTAATATTAATATATAGGTATCTATATGTAATACGTCTTTTGGAATTCCAAATCTCAATCTCAGTGAGCAAAAACAAATGTTTTGTCTCCTTCACTGTTAGAGAAATGAAACCTGTAACTTTTGCAAACAGTTAGAACCATTCTGTTGGTCCTCACATAGTAGGTTAGCCGTGTTTTTGTCTTGAAAATATGTGAAAACAAATCACACATGCACACAGCGTCTTACCTGTCTCCACGGCCTCTTTCATGTAGACGGCGCAGTACGGGTTGAGCACCTCCTCATGGTAGGCTAGCCCAGGGTCCATTTCAAAACTGGAAAACCCAATCCTCAAAAACGGAGACATGATCTCCACTCCGGTCCTCCCAACAGCCTTCAACTCCAATATGTGTCTTATAATAGAGCAAGTACCCTCAGCGGGTGTAATCACACCAGCAAAAACTCTTCAGATGATGTCCACCATGCCAGTGAAGTCCATTTCTGATGTTTTGTTATTGACGTTTTCCAGCAGCTCTGCGTCCAGAAGAACCTCCTAAAAACGGCTCCTTAATACTATAGCCTCCACGGGAATATGTGTAGGAGCATCTGCGTATGAGTATGTTCAGAGAAGTGCCTGAGCACGGTGACCCCTCCACGAGGAACTGCTCTGCTGGACTGAGAGTGTGTGGGTGGGTGTACGTGTGTGAGGGTGGAGGGAAGGTCAGCCTCTGATCTGGTCTCTTTCACCTCCTGTCCTGGGCACTGTGTTTGGACTGACCTTTTCTGTGTGTACAGGGAAGAACAGAAAAGACATTCACTACTGCACACTAAACAAGCAGCGCTGCTTTGAATTGATTCAAATGTATACTGTACATCATGTCCACATGGTTAAAATGTATTACATAAAGAGAATTTGGTCTTTACTTAGTTTTGGCAATAACTGTAGGGAAAGTAGCCTTTTATGCCAGCTTTTTTTAGCTATTCCTGTAGTCACCAAGTCTTTGGTCCTGCAGCTCTGAAAGCAAAAACAGTGTTTTCTCGTTCAAAAATTTTTTGTTTGACATGATTTTAGCTCATTGCACAGGGTCATCACAGCAGCAGCCTACACTGGATCAGCCATCCAGCGGTACTGGCCAACACAGCCCCATAAAATAAAGACAAGTGTGTTGATTTGTACACTGAAATTTAAACAGGCTACAAAACAGACGCAAAGCAAGATCAACCATTATCTAAACAGCCCACATATGCAAATTATTACCAATACACACTCGTAAAACATACACTCTGTAAAAAATGATTCAATGTTTTAACTTAGAACTGTCAGTAACCTGGTTGCCTCAAAACTTCTGATACTAAGTTAGCAATAATCCGTGTTTTACATTCAGTTTACTTATTACCTGAACTGAAAATTTAAAGGCTACTAACCTTTACAGTTACTGACTTTAAGGTCAATCACTTTACTAACTTTTAAGCAGCATTCGGGAAACATTAGTACACACTCAGTGTTCTAAATGTTTGAAGTTATAGAGTTCACTGATCAGTGACACAGATGACTGTGGAAAAAAAAGAAAGAAAAGAAGTGAAAAAAGCAATTTTATTGGGAGCAAACTGCTACAGAAAAGATGTGCGATAACATTATGGGAGAATTATATATAGCTGGGCAGCAACCTAACTTACTATAGTATTAACTGAAGTCACCCTTGATGAAATCTAGCCTGCATCATTAAAGGTACTCAGCTGTAAAAAGTATTTAGCCTCCCTGAAAAATTTTAAATGCTACTATACAATAGTTATTGTTAGTAGGTACTAACGTCTTACCATCGTACAGCCTTTTTCATATAGCAGCACTGCTGAAGTGTACTGTAGGCAAATTATTAGTGTGGTCATAATTCTATGTTAATTAACAATATAATTCTGCTCTTAACCAGTTAAGTGCATTTTTCAATATGGTTTCACTCTGGAAAACTTTTCCTTTCCTTTATGTTATGTGAAAAATATTGTACATTTTGTTCCCTGTACTTTGTCTACAATGTGGACTACACTGATGTAGAGATTTATTTAGGTGCTTTTAAATGTTTCCCTAATGAAGAAGGTCAGTGCTTTCTTTAGGAAAATGAACGAGAACACTGTTAACCTTTTAAGGTTCACTTGTCTGTGAGATACACTGATTACTGAGTGCAGTGTTAGATTATAACTGATTGATAACTGGCCTGGAGGCCTGTTATCACCATAATAATCGCTCACACAAAGTAGCAGAACTTTTCTATGGTGACTGTTTTATTGATAATAGCTGACTGTCTTACTTTGTTTGACTGGGGTGGCCAGAAGCGTGGCCATGCTTCATGGTAGGGTGGAACTGGCCACCCCTGTCACCTGACCATATAGGTGCACATTGTAGGTTTACAGTTACAGACCGTAATACCACCAGATTGTGAACCACCACACACTCTCAAAAAAAAAGATACTAAACTGTCACTGGGGTGATAAGCCTCATGTCGCCCAGGAGGTATCCTCAAGGGTACATCTTCAGTACCTGTAGTTAGGGAATATAATTGTTCCATATTCCATTACTCCATACACACTGTCTTTACTTCAGGACTTTTGATTTTGTTTTTCTTTTTCAAAACATTATTTTGTATTTCTATGAGGCTTTAAAGATGCTAATTTAGACACGTTGATTGAGTTGAGACTGTTTATTTTTAGATGCAAAGCACCTCACGGGCCTGGCTTGTAACTCACTCTTGTTTAGCAGGCTGAAAAGTCTCCACAAGGGGGTGCTATTAGCACTCCAGTAGCCTTTGGTGCTTCGTAAGAGTGGTGCTTCACATCAATGAAACTGGGTGTCATTGTTTTTTAGTGCTGAAAAGATATGAATCCTCTCTAGAAGCAGATTGAATAATCTTATTATTACGGAGCTCATTATGAGACATTGAATATCTGGGTAATTTCATTTGCCAGGACATCATTTTCTTGTACTGCATTCACTCACTCACTCACGATTAACATATAATATACATTAAACATCATTATAACTGTTTTGTGATCAAAATTTGTCATGTTTTATATGTGTCATGTCTCTTTTTCTCAATCCCTTCATCCTCTCTCTTAAACTTTCCTGTTCTTCCAGCATTAGAATCAAATTCCTCTTAGTTGTGCTCTGACCTCTAAACCAAATGAAAAAGGAACTTTTCTGCTTACTGAACCTAAGAAATCTGAATAGTTAAGACAGAAGAAGGGATTGAGATGGAGGACAAGATAAAAAAAATAAAAGGAGACATAATACAAGCAAAACATCAAACGATATGTTCAAACATTTCAAATCTCCTTCTCATGTGCGCTTACACACACACACACACACACACACACACACACACACACACACACACACACAAGCAGATTAAAGCACATTCTAGATCATGAAACTTTTTTGTGTGACCACATTGGTGCTGGTGAAAAAAACATTTCTCACTTCTTACAAGTGAACACAAGGGATAGTCTGTTCTTCACTGAGACTGACACTGAAATCACATTTACGTGACTAGCTTTGATGGCAATTGCTAAAAGAAGATAATATTGTTATATACGGTTACACTTTGGAACCACAGTACTTGATAAAGTAGCACCAATAAAGCAATTTGAATAGAATTTAAAGAGAGATAGAGGGAGAGAGCAAGAGAGAGAAAGAGAGAGAGAGACTGAAAGAGAGGGAGAGAGAGAAAAAGGGAGAGAAAAGAATGAAATGAAAAAATAGAAAAACATTAAGAGAGACAGGGGGAGAGTAAGAGACAGAAGAGGGAGAGAGACTGAAAGAGAGGGAGAGAAATGGAGAAAAAGAGAAAGAGATGGAGAGAAAAATGAGAGAAAGAAAGAGAGAGTGAAAGAGAAAGTGAGAAACGCACAGCAGAATGAATAAAGTCGTAAGCAAAAGTTGGGCGTCCCTGGTATAATTACATGTTTCGTTGTGAAAATAAGAACACATCCTATTTAATTTTTTAAATATCATCACTGTCAAGACCAAAACTTATATCAGCAAAATGATAGCTTTACAGGAGAACACATTCTTTGAGTAGAAGTCAATGGGAACAATATTTGTTTTCACGTAATTTTAAACTGTTTCTGTTGATCTGTTCATCATAAAAAAATTTCTGACAATATAAATGGCAGCTGGTCTTTTCAAACTATGTAAAAAAATAAAAAATGATACATGAGATGTAAGGATTAGTTCCGACAGTGGAGATATGTTAATGATAGAAAATAAATAGAAATTGAGAGAATATATAGAAATTGTGCACTGACATTTGCAGAAAAATGGCATAATTGTCTGTGCTCTGTAGAGGACGTCAACTTATTTCAGCTTATTTTCACAACAAAACATGTCATTTCACTGGGGAGTCTATAAACCTTTACAGACAACTGTATTAACAATTGAGATTAATTAAGCCCTTAAACTCTACAGATCACATTTCATTTCCTGACTCATAACTACAGAACATGCAGTTTCATAGTAGATATAAAATAATTCATAGTAGTCACTTAACAATTCACAGCAGACACAGAGTAACAAGATTTAAAATTCATACGCATGCAGTTTAAGGGTGTACCACACTATGACTGAATCATATCTTGAGCTTTATAGAGCTTACCTGTGAAAGCTGACTAGCCTTAAGGGCAACAAAAACACATTCTACTTAAACAGCAAGCAAATAAGAGACAGAGAGAAAGAAGGGAGAGATAGAGGTAAAGAGCTGGGGGAAAGGTTCGAGGAGGGAGAGACGTCTATTAATAGATCTGTAATACAAAACCACCAGTGCAGCGTCCCAGAACAAACTTGTGTCCTCCAGTCCCAGACCAGCTTAGTGCACACTCATACACATGCATACGCTTTACACTCTTTGTTAAAATATGGCTATGTTGCTCTTACATGTACATCTGACTTGTTGATTTGTTTACGTAGTCATAGTTAAAGGACTTTTCTATACACAACCACACACACACACACACACACACACACACACACACACACACATATATATTTATATGCTATCATAAATAATCATTTTTTTAAACACAGGGGAAATCTGTTTTGTACATTGTTCTACATTGCTACATTTCATGTTTATATACACTTTATAGCCACCTTATAGGACACCTGACCATCATACCTATATGAGCTTGTTGGACATGCCATTCCAAACACCCCCCCTCCTCTGCCCCCTTTGCAGCTACAAGAGCCTCCATTCTTCTGAGAAGGTCAGGCACTGCGGTTGGATGACAAGGCCTGGCTCTAAATTGACGGTCCAATTCATCCCAAACATGTTCAGTGAGGTTGAAGTCAAGGCTCTGTGCAGAGCACTGGAGTTCCTCCACAACAAACTCATCAAACCATGTCTTTACGCATCTTGCTTTGTGCACAGGGGCACAGTCATTCTGGAACAGGAAAGGGACTTCCTTAAACGGTTGCCACAAAGTTTAAAGCATAATTGTCAAAAATGTCTTTGTATGCTGTGACATTAACATTAATTTTCACTGGAACTAAAGGGCCAAACCCAAACCCTGAAAAACAGCCCCAGACCATTATCCCTCTTCCACCAAACTTAACTGTTGCCATGACACATTCTGGTAGGTAGTGTTCTCCTGGCATCCATCAAATTCAGATTCATCTGTCAGACTGTCAGGTATTAAAGTGTGATTTATCACTCTAGAGAGCATTTTTCCAGAGTCCAATGGCAGTGTGCTTTACACCACTCCAGCCAATGCTTCTCATTGCGCGTTGTGATCTTGTGATCTTGAGCTTGTGTGCAGCTGCTCAGCCATGGAAACCCATTACATGAGGCTCCTGATGCACAGTTCTTAGACTAATGTAAGGTTACTTCTAGAGGGAGTTTGGAACTCTGTAGAGGATAGGCAATTTTTATGCTCTATGTGCTTCAGCACTCTCCGACTTCACTCTGGAAGTTGCTGTGGTCTGCTGCTTTGTGGCTGAGCTGTTGTTTCTCCTAGATGCTTCTGTTTCACAATAATAGAACTTACAGGTGACAGGGGCAAATCTAGCAGCACAGATATTTCACAAACTGACTTGTGGCAATGGAGGCATCCTATGACAGTGTCATGTTTAAAATCACTAAGCTAGTGTTTGTCTTTTGAGATTGCATGGCTATGTGTTTGATTTTATTTACCTAATGGCTGTGATAATTTTATATATTTAAAAAAAATGTTGAATTTAATAAAATATGTGCATCAGTGCTTTGTAAACATTTTTACTACATATTCATCCTTCATGCACCAACCACAACATGCATGCATGCACAGCAGGGAGAAAAGCCTGACACATTGCATTTTCCTACCAACCACTGCGTAAGCAGGCCTAACACAAAATCAGGCCAGAGCAGAGCCCTTATCTCATAATCGAATTGTAAACCACCACAGCCAAGCCATTTAACTTTCCATTCCCCACCACAATTAGGACAAGCTGGTCCAGGCCTTCAGAGCATAAAATTTAAAACTACAGCTTGACAGTGAAACTGCATTCTGTAAATACAGAAATGTAGACATACAAGCACAGACATCATAGTCTCTACTAAAGAAATGTTTTTTTAATTTGTGTTTTTAAATACAAAAGTATACCCTGAGTTGCCAGTGTTTTTAGAAACACCTACCATACAGGTGCACTTAGGTTAGTTATAGACTGAAGCCAATATGTTGCTGCATAATCAGCTGCCCTCTACCCACCATAACTAGACATTATTTGTGAGGTGGACTATTCTCAGTGCAGCAGTGACAGCAGCTAGGTTTCCATCAACATATTTTTATGCATATTTTGAGGTACTGAATTAAAAAGGTTTTATGGAATTGACAAACATTAATGTAAAATCACTGAAATTCACATAAAAGTTTGTGCACTCAATTAAGTTTCATACATTTTTACTGATAAAAAGGAATTACGAAACATTACAGTGTGATAAAATGCATTTGCCGGATAAATACTGTAAACGTGAATAAAATAGTAATGGTCAGTGACTGGTCACGTGTCAGACAGTAACAGAAAAAACATAACTATCATATTTGGCAGTAAATATACATAAAGTAAGTGATGCCAATAAATGGACATTTCTTGAGTCATCATATTTATCAATGTGTTTACTGTTTCAGTCATTCAGTATGTGCTCGTTCCATGTAGTTAGAAATGGAAAAATGGAAAACGGGGGCAGCAGCTGTATGCTAGGCTTGTACTGAATTAGTCACTGTGAAAGTACTATGTACAATGCATATAATAAGCAGTATGTATAATGTAAATAATAATAGCGTGTGTATATATATATTATATATATATATATATATATATATATATATACATATATATATATATATATATATATATATATATATATTTTAAATCTTGGATAAAAAAAGAATAATCTGCAGGGAATGTTAGAAAAAGCCCAAAAAAGCATGTACAAAGTACTTTCTTCTATGAAAAACATCAGCCCACAAACATTAATAAGAATGTGGAGGATGTGAAAAAGATCAATTTAAATGGAAAACAAACACACACAAGACACCCACACAAACCCACACACAAACCCACACACACATAAGCATGCGATAAAACTCCACACCACAAACACTCACACTTATCTGCAGTCAGACTTTTCTGATCGGATTTGGCTTGTCAGCTTGTTTCATTTATTGATAGTTTAATTTCATACACTTCATCATCGTAAGTGTGATAATGCTGCCACTTCCTTCCCTTGAGCAATAATTTAAACCACACACTTCCTGTGCCAGAGAAGTGCTCAGGTGGGCTGCTGTTCATGCTACCTGTCTCTCCTAGAAAAAGACAAACAGCGAGAGAGTAAGACAAGTGGAGGTTCTAAAGTCATGAATCTACAACCAGGCCTTGCCTGCCCTTCTCAGCGCTGTATTTAATATTTCATCAAATGCTTTCATGTGAGTGAAGTCCAGCCCTAATCCATCAGTGCAGTTCAAATGACCCAGTAGGTCAAACAGCAGGAAACAAACCCCAGCAAAGTCTTTCATCAACAGATAGACTCACACATACATGCACCCACGCATGCACTGTGGCCTATCACGACATATTCTAAAACTAACTATACAGTACACAAGAGCTCTACATAGTACCAAAAAAACGGTTCTATGACCATTTTTGTTCCTGTATAGCAGATTCTGCTCCAACCCAACTTGTTACACATGGGAATGTAGACTGTCAAAGAAAATGTGAACTGTCTGGGAGTTTATATAGAGACTTCAGCTGCATATATAAACTGTAATGCCCACATTATATTTTGAAAAGAAAAACATGAAATATATCCTTGGTTAAAAAAAAATAAATAAATTTAAAAAATTTATGTATAGAAGGTTATGTGCTTTGCTCATGTTTTTTTCAATACAAACTAGGGCCTGATCAATGAATCATATTTATATTAAAACGTATATTTAAATTAAGAACTGGTAGCTTTCTGTCTCATGTGAGTTGTAGATTCACACAGCATGTCTATGACTCCCTGCCAAATGCGTTGTGACATTTACTTGAGCCGTAACAAAACGTCCATATTCTTCAGTAGTAATTACACGTGTATTTTGCACTCTTTCCTGCTCGGTTGGCAAACTATCCTACATGTTCATCAGTGAAAACAGAGCTTTAAGCTGTAGTTATTTATCTGAGCGGTTTTGCCTTGTGTAATAGCATTCTAAGCCTGGATAGCTGCTACAATAACCATAGCATGAACAAAGCTGGGCAAAATATGGGCTCAGTCTCAAATGGCTCCCTACTCCCTCTGCACGGTGCACCACATAGGTCATTATATAATGGCTTCTACACACAAACAGGGCATTGTATGTCTAAATAAAAAACATTATACTGTTTTATGGTAACCTCCTTTTAAACATACAGGGCCCTATTTGGGTGTAGAAGCCATGTTTTTATGACCTGTGCAGCACACTACAGAGGGAGTTTAGAGTCATCCACAGACATGCTGCCATGTTTCATTAAAATGACAGTAACATTGAGCAGGTTTTAGTCCGTACCCGTCTTGTCTCCCTGTACTCTAATCTGGATGTTTTCACTCATAGAAAGAATATACTAATACTAAATATTAAACTAAGAAAGACTTATGTAGTGGTTTCAGCGTTACACCCTAGTTGCACCCTAAGCTACTCCACTAATATGACGTTGTAAAAAGACAGGCATGTGGGGTAAAGATCCAGCAGTGTTTTAAACTGTAATGCAGTGCAAATCGGGCATGGGACACAGATCAGGGAGTGTCAGGTCAGGTTCTAAAATTGGATAAGCTGAGACATGCTAAAAATTATTTTGGTTACACTGAGAGCCAGATACAGTCAAATTGTGAGTGTGTCATTACACAGCAATGTTTAATCCAAAACATTTAATATGCATCATAAGAAGCCAGTATTTATCCAATTTACACTACTGTAATAATGCTAATTTAGTTAGGCTAGCGTCATGCTAACAGGGACACTATATCAGCTGTACAGGGCCATTGAGAGCTTATAGCACAGGCATCTGAAGCTTATAACTGCTTGTAACAGACACTCAGGTAAGATATATATTTTTAATTTGTATATTATATACATGGACTTAAATCTTGTCATGTTCTGCTCATGCTGTAGTTGATAAAAAGTGCAATGCTTATGTGAAATATAGAGTGATTGTTCTGTTAGCTTGCTGTAGCATTAGGTCATGATACGCATCAAAACTTAAAGTGTGACCAGTAGTTAGATAGG